ACTTACCCGACTGTCCCCCGCTCCTTCTTGCTTCAGTGCAGAATTCACATTAGAAGGCGGGGCCTGTGCTGGGGGAGGGGCCGTTATATCTTGCTGGTTGGACAGGATGTCGAATAGAATCAGAGAGCCTGAAATATGTAAAGACAAATGTCAGCGGGGTGACTGCATGCGACATTCCCAAATCATCTACAGCTCCGCCCCTTCATGTCTATTGTATATATCCCAGCAGACCGTTAACAATCTCGGCTCCGTAATACCGGCACCAAGTACATCCAGAAGGCGGCAGACTGGACCACGCACCTAAACTGTGACCGGCCACAGAGACCCTTCCGGTGAAGTTCGGGTTTCGGCTCATGAAGAGCTCATAGAGCCGGTTCATCTCCAGGCTGACTTTGTCCACAATGGTCTGGCAGTAGGTGGGACTGTTGTAGAACAGAATGTCCAGGAGGGTCTCGTTGGTGAAATGGCGAAGACGCGCAGTGCTTGGCAACGTGATCTTCTTGATCCGCCTATAAAAAGACAGAACGGGTTCAGCCTCTTACTAACGCCGCACGTACATCGTACACCACATCAGATGAATACCCCGTTCCCCGAAAATAAGACCTAGGACTATTTATGGGAATTGCTAAAATATAAGACCCGCCCCGAACATAAGACCCTGCCCCGAACATAAGACCCTGCCCCGAACATAAGACCCTACCCCGAACATAAGACCCTACCCCGAACATAAGACCCTACCCCGAACATAAGACCCTGCCTCGAACATAAGACCCTGCCCCGAACATAAGACCCTACCACGAACATAAGACCCTGCCCGAAAATAAGACCCGCCCCGAAAATAAGACCTAGCTGTGACCATTCCCGGGGCCGGTGGTGGCATAAGGGGGAACTTGAAGAGCCGCGGGAGAGAGTCAGCGGTGCCAACGAAACCGGCGTTGGAGGAAGCAGAGCCGCATAGGCCGACGCCTCCTGTCACAGGCTGAGTCATACCAAATGCGCTCCACCTGTGAGGAATCCATAGTGAGAGTGCGCTTCGCTCATTCTGGCCAGCGATTGGTTACCAAATTCTTCTTGGAAAGGTACGGCGCCCCCCGATCACCATATTTTTGTACATGAATAAGTAGGGATCGTTGTACATTAAAAAAAATAAGACCTGGCGTGTTTTTTTGAGCCAAAACAAATAGAACACACGGGTCTTATTTTCGGGGAAACGCGGTACAATCCATCACCAGGACTGCGAATGCCAAACTGCGCGCGTGTGATGGGCCCCAGGTGGGTTCAGATCATCGCTGACAGACTGCCGAGTGTGACTATGTAACCCGGGGACTACCTGTCCCGATCTTGTATGTAACCCGGCGACTTCCTGTCCCGATCTTGTATGTAACCCGGCGACTTCCTGTCCCGATCTTGTATGTAACCCGGCGACTTCCTGTCCCGATCTTGTATGTAACCCGGCGACTTCCTGTCCCGATCTTGTATGTAACCCGGGGACTTCCTGTATATGCTTATAGGGGACACATACAGAAAGACTGCCAGCAGCAACAAGACCAGAGGCGCATGGCTGTGCTATCTACCTGTGGGATGTTTGTTGGAGGTCACCAGCACGTCTGTTTATCGACGCTTCATGTCAAAACAAATAACGTTTCGGGGCCACACCGGGTCCCCTTCACCAGACATGAAATGACATTTTTTTATTTGGGGGCAGATACGTTGTAATGGAGATCCGCTACGAAAGCATTAGGTGTTGGGGCGATAGTACACATCTGTCACTCCAATGCATCACGCCCCATCAACTCTACTGACCTGTCCACACCCGTGGCATCACCATGGAGGGCGCCGTGCCAATGGACCGGCAGGAACTCGACACGCCGCGCCTTCCCGTCTTCCACAGACTTCCTGAAATGGGTTTGCATCATCTTTACCCTCCTGCCACATACCTGCACCACATGTACCCCAAGCTCCCCACCCCTCTCCCATGACAGGAGTGTGGAATTCCGATCGCCCGACGCCCGATGCAGTTTCAGGCGCCGGGCGAGTCGTTTTTATGTACATCTAGCCAGGCTCCGGATAAGCCGAGCCGAATGTACATTGTGGAGCCGCCGCTCATTTAGCACAAGTGATCTGATTAGATCACTTGTATCAAATGGAGCAGCAGCGATTGTGTCTGCACGCACTCCCCGCCATGGTTTTTTCGGGGTCCCCCGCTCTCCCCGGCTCAGCCGTAGAGCCCGTAGAGCGGACGAAGAACGTCTGCTCCACGGCCTCTCTGTGTGTTCTCGGAGACCGTGGCGCTGTAATCACAATGTAATCACAGCGCCACCTGCCTCGGCTGTCAGAAACTGCACAGAACATCTCTTTATGGAACCTGTCACCTCCAAACTATCACAGGGGGAATTTAATCCCCTATGTGATAGGAATGACATTAAAAAGGAGAACTATGAGGGGGAGGGGCTTTTCACTCACCTCATAGTTGAGACCAATGAGACTGTCACAGGTCGGCTCAGTAGATCGGGAGGTGAGCGAACACATACCGGCGTTCGCTCACTTCTCGATCCTGTCACTGATCTCTGCCGTGACGGGAGGGGCTGGATTCCCCCCTCCTATCGTCCAGCGCTGACTGGCGGAACGGACGGGGGAGGGGGCGGGTACAGCTGGCTCTGCCTCTAGATAGGCGGAGCCAGCTGTCAGTCACGCAGCTGGGCGGATCCAGACATCAATGTCGGGATCCGTTCCGGCTGCGGCGTCTCAGTATACCGCGAGCTGTAGCTCCCTATATACTGAGCCTAGGGTGACGGGAGGATGCTAGTTTGTGTCCTCCCGTTACCCTGAGGAGAACTATGGGGAAAAGCCCTGACCCCATAGTTCTCCTTTAAGTGGAAAAATAAAATAAAATTAAACATTTTTTTTTTAAAGTAAAAAAATAAAAATAAGAATATATAAAAAGTTAAAAATAAAGTTAAAAAAAAATTAAAACCAATCCCGCTACCCCCGCCATCTGCATGCAAATAAACGCATGCGTAGGACATTCTGCATGTGCTTCGAGATTGCAGCCGCCATGCCATGGTGGTAGCCAGGCAGCTCCGCCAGTATAAGTGTACTATCCGTCCTCCCCCCCCTGATGCATTTTGAATTTCGCTCACAAATTGCAAGCTCTCATTGGTCAGCGTGGTCAGGTGACTGCGCTGACCAGTGAGAAGCGCTAGTTAGCACAGTCAAATATGTTTTGATTAGGGGTGCGCCGATACTAGTATCATTGTGATACCGAGTACTCGTACTCACCCAAACGCCCCGATACCTTCCCCGACATTGGAACTTACGTCGAGATGAAAATTTCCTCTGACCGGCAGCGCCGTAGGGGAACACGGAGCCGGCTTCCCGTGCAATCAGGAAGCCGCGGCGTAAGTAATGACCTGCCTCCTGGTTTTCCGATTGGCCGGGAAGCCGGCTCTTTGCTGATTGGCTTCCTGGCCAATCAGCATCGAACCCTCTTCCTGGTCAATCGGGTCATTACTCGCCGCCCGGCTTCCCGATTGGCCAGGAAGCAGATTTCCCGGCCAATCACAATCAAGCAGGCCAAACAACATGGAGCCGGCTTCCGCGGCAATCAGGAGACCGGGCTGGATGTCGTTACCCGCTGCCCGATTACCAGGGACGCCGGCTCTATGTCAGCGGAAGCACCGGTATTAGTATTCAGTTTTTACCCCCCTTCTCTGCCCCCAATAACCCTCCTCTGTTTTTCCTCCTCCCCCACCTCATTGTAAACATCCACAGTATTCCCCATCCTCTGCTACACCCCCCCCTTCCCAAAAAAAACACCCTTGCCCACCCATACATTACCCCATCTTTCTCTAATGAACCCCTTCATAAAAGAATATATACAGCCAGAGGGTCACTCACCACATTCCACCATACTCCTAAAGCGAAGGTCGCACACTGGTCCAATCCCGTGCACCATGAACACCAGATGATCGGCTTGAGGAACCTCACCTGTCAAAGAGCACAAACTCAGAACCAAAAACACCCAAAAAATCAGCTCTGTCTACAGGAGGAGAAAATGAGGAGAGAATCCTTAGAGTGGCCGCTGGGATGGTGGTGGCAGAGCCTAGGAAGCCGCGCAGGCATGATGGTGGTGGGGTCAGGTACAGTGGTCAGGGTGAGTCGGAATGCAGGTGAGGTGGTGCATGCAGGCGAGTATTGGGGGGGGTAGGATGTTGAGATATAATGTAGCACAAGTTTGACATTACTGTATATTCGGACTTTACAGTACAGGATACGGCACAGTCATTATTAGGAGCTCCCGTACCTTCTGAACACTCAGTGTAGCTATGGTACCCGCCACCTCTCCGCAGAGTACCACACAGCCGGGCTGCACACTGCACAGGTCAGACGACGGAGCATATCAGGGTGTTATTTACTGTCTGCAAGACTGCCCCACACCAAATTCATAGTTCTTCTGCGCCCCCCCACCCCCATGAATTGCCCTCCGCAGCCCCCAGTCTGCCATTATGAATTGCCCTCCGCAGCCCCCAGTCTGCCATTATGAATTGCCCCTCCGCAGCCCCCAGTCTGCCATTATGAATTGCCCTCCGCAGCCCCCAGTCTGCCATTATGAATTGCCCTCCGCAGGCCCCAGTCTGCCATTATGAATTGCCCTCCGCAGCCCCCAGTCTGCCATTATGAATTGCCCTCCGCAGGCCCCAGTCTGCCATTATGAATTGCCCTCCGCAGCCCCCAGTCTGCCATTATGAATTGCCCTCCGCAGGCCTCGGCCTGCCATTATAGTGTTCCGTCTGTACAGACAACCACTAAGGTAATTCCCTGCAGACAACGTACCGTCTGGAATCTCATCATGGTCATCTATGCCCCTCTTCACCACACGGGGCCTGGACTGCCCATCCTGAGGGGTCCCCCACTCATCGGGTATCGCTGACTGCTGAAACTGGACAATCACCTGTAAAAAGGACAATGCCAGGCTGAGATTAGGGGGGGAAGCAGACCAATATCTGAAGATATCCCGCACCAGCCCCCCGGGGACATCGAAAACGAGTACTCCCACCGGCGATCTCTCACAGAAAAGCCAGGCCCATCCCCCTTCCTCTGCGTCGGAAATGAGGCCTGGAACGCAAGGCCGCGGCGCCCGGAAGTTGAGTCACCCGCACCGGAAGTGACCTAGTTGGCCATCCGATCCGGCCGTGGAGAACCTCCCGGAATCCCTAGACCGGCGGCCCCTGACTGCTGAGCCACGTGGTCCCAGGATTCAGCCAAGGGGGTAACGCAGGATCCGGTACTGGCCCTCCCCGGCACTGAAGAGGACGAAAGATCCGGTGGGGAATCCCCAATTGTCAGAGGAGCGCACCGGCGGCCTACTAAGGTTATTCTGACCCTCACAAGTGTCCCACTGAGAGGGAATACTGGGGTACCTATCCCCTATCCCCCCACCGTTCCGGTGACATGTCTCCCCCTGACGGAGGAAACACAAAAAAACTGGGGAGCTGGGAGAGAGGCGGGCCTTTTAAAACAACTAGGGGTGACGCGTTTCCTGCTAAAAGGGGCGGAGCCTATCTCTCGTAAGCTGTTCTGGAAGATGAAGGGGGAAGAAGAACAAGACATTTTAGGAGGTGTCCACAGGGGCTCCAGCCTTGAATTTGCCCGCGGGGTCGTAGAAGATGGCCACCTCTGCATGACGCGAATGTAGAACACATACAATGACTGACGCAAATGGCACCCACCTTAGGGTTGTGCATCACAATGGTTTCTCCTCCCGGGAACTCCAGCCTCCGATGCCACTGATTGGTGGTCACCGCCTTCTTATACTCCGCCTGGAATGGAAGCACCACGTGACATCATACGCATCAGACACCCAGGCCCCCCCAATACAGCCACCGCTTCCATTTACCTCCAACCGTTCACTGAACTCCTCGCTGTACGGGACGAATCGGCTGTCCGAGTCGCCTTTGTAGAACCAGGAACAGCGCCGGACCTCCAGATCCTCCTCCTCCCAGTAGACGGCCTTCATCTCCCGGTCATACAGGTGGACGTCGTAGCGCCCGCCGGCTGTATTCACCACCACGCTCTCAGGGTCCGGCTGAACTGAACAGGAATACAACATGCCAAGGTGAGCGGAGACAAAGTCCTCACAGGATGAGCGGTGGGCATAAAGTACTGTGAAGAGGAGGCATCTCTATTGAAATGGTTCTACGGGGGTCCAACATGGCTGACGGGGATAGCAGCGCGTCCGTGCTTGACGCAGGTGTCGGGGGGAAGAGCTCGGGAATCACTCACCGGAGTTGTACACCTCCTCCAGATTGGCAGAGTCGTACAGGCTGAACGCGGACCAGACCTCCCGGCCTTCCACCAATTTACAGAAGAACCAGTGAGGCTGGACGGACTCGTACAGGTTGGGCACGAAGTGAGCCACCGCTGGCACTGTGGAAGCCGCAGGCCTGCCACTGGGGTACGGCTGCGTGGCTGCTGCACTCATGTACGGGGGCGCCATAGGGGGCTAAAGACAAAAAAAAAAGATATACAGAATCATTCAATGCAAAGAACATGACGTGCCATCCATCACCGGGCACACAACCCATAAGCTGTCCATCCCGGTGCACAACATTCCCGGCATCACAAGGAGGACAATCACCCTCAGCGGATATTCCGCGCAGTCAGTATGCGAGTTCCAGGAGTACAAAGCGGTGATTGGGAACCCTAAAGGCAGCTTGGTGTCCTCTGCCGGGGGAGCCCATGAGGGCCAGGAGGATGTCAATGGAAACATTTGGACTGGAAACGGTTCTTCTACCCATAGTCATGAAATGATGACCTCAGATCCATGGGGTCCAATGAGAGGGAACCTTTAGTTTTGGGTAGATCGGGGGAGAGATGACCAAGTGCGATATGTCTGGGAGGAAGGAACCCCCTGATTGGTCATTGTATATGGCTGGACGTATTACACCTCTCGCTCTATCTACACATCAACGTACCCCTAGGATCTCAGCGTGCAATGACTCGCCGCCTGGCTTCCCGATACCAGAGTACTCGCCCAAATACTCGGCATTGGCACCGATACTAGTATCGGTATCAGTGCCTCCCTGCCGTATGGCGCCCAAACAATGGGCTGTGTGTTCTTCTACAATACATGAACCCCAGTGCTGCAAAACACCCGGAGGACAGGTTCCTGGCAGCGTCCAGGGGACGGCGCAGCACAGACTTATAGTACACATGGGGGGAGGGGATTTATAGAACGTTTGCAGAGCTCTTCGCCGCGTGAACATCTCCATATCAGAGTCACAGCGCATTATGGCCACTAGATGGAGCCGAGGAAATCCCTGAACTCCAGTGTGAGAATCTGAAGACGTCTGCAGAGATTCGTGTCCACCGTCTATGGCAGCGCTCCCCAAAACCTGATCTCAGGCACAGCACCTTGGGGTACAGAGATATCAGTGTACACAGAATACAGTACGATAACATACCGGTCGGTACGGGTCCAGTCACCGGGAGAAAGGGGACGTTGAAGTTGAGCTCCCCGGTAGAGAACAGGAGGTTGTTGTTGTTATTGCTGGTCCCGGTTGTGACCCCCGGGGGCCCCCGGCTCCCTCTCTTGTCAGCCATGTTGCCCTGACACGGCGGCTCCACGTCTCCAGCCGGATCCGGCAAACTGACATCTCCTCGTCCAATCAGCACACTCCGCAAGGCCTTTCCCCGCCCTCCTGACTTTTTTCAAGCCAATCAAGGAAAGGAACTCTTCGGCCCAATCACCGGCTACACTCTTGTTCATGTGATTCCTTGACGGCCACGTAAGCCAATTGGAAAAACCGGTGATCCGTCATGTGACATCGCCCTGCCATCCGCAGCATGGCCTCGCGGGTACGGATTCCGGCTGGCAGCATTTGCTCCGCCCTTATCCTGATGACGACATTTTCCCGCCACTGGCTGGGTTGCGATCTGCAGTGAGGAGGATGCTGCTGTCTGGAGGAGTCACGTGTCCGCCCGGTACCGGAGAATGGATTACCGAGCCGCTCCGCTGTGTGCAGCGACTGTACGGTGAGCCCGCGTGTCCCAGTGCTGAACTGATACCGGCCAGACCAGGTGGCTGATATGGGGGAAATGTTTACTCTTTGTGTACAGGTGACACCGAGTCAGGAAGTGATGTAACAGTGACTCCTGTATGAGTGGGCCCCCCAGGGGTCGCCCTTTGACCATGTGTCATGTAGCACAGTAAATATGGGGGTGACATGAACATGGTCACAAAGGTGGACTGTGCCTTTAAGTGATGGAAGTCAAATCTCCCTCCCATCGATGTATAGACAGCGAGGTGATCACATGATCCTGCTACTGTAATGTGTCATGTGACCAATTCCTGACCATGTTCATGATCTGTGTTCATCCAGATGTGATCTCCATGGAAACCAATAAAAACTGAACACGCTCCATGACTCACATCAACACGCCATGGCACATGTAAATTCAACACGATGCGTGTTGACGTTCAGTATCTAGCGCATGTCCGATGATCGGAACTTCCATGTGTTGTGATTTATTTCAATATGGGGGGAAGATTGTGGGCTCTTCCAGGTCAGGGTGTGGGCTCTTCCAGGTCGGGGGCAGGGGCGTGGGATCTTCCAGGCTGGAGGTATGTAGAGATGATCCCTATACGTTGTGTCTTCCAGAGGAGAGTGCGGCTCTTCCAGGTTGGGAACAGAAGGTGACACATTACTTCCAGGAGAAGATACAAGAGAACCTGTCATGCTGGGTAAGTGATGAGACGTGTTTTGTGTGTCATGTGACATGTCATGTATGATTGGTGTGTGCACAGAACACGCTATGTTGGAAGATTCGGGGCGTCTTCCTGTCAGTTCTGTACTCTGTCACATTCACCTGCAGGCCGTGTGTTGCAGAACAGATACACATTGGGGTGTGAATGTCACGGCCAGACACGGGTACACGGCTCTCCAGGCTCCGCCCTCTCCCTCCACACATAACCTGCTCTCCACTGTACTGCAACACGCTTTATTGGTACCAGGGAGGTCAGTCATGACTCCGCCCCCTCACTCGATTTCACCCAATGGGGTTCTTCATAGGAGGTTGCGGTTCAGTAGAGGGTTTGTATCTGATGCTGGGAGGGGGCGTGGCCAGAGTCCTAGAACCCATCATACGGGGCAGTCAGACTCTTCTGGGATCTCCGGCTCTCTTATTGGCTGAGCAGCAGAGTTCCGGGGGGGCGCGGTGGTGTCAGTTGGTTGGAGTCGCTGTGTCTTTGTCTTCCAGGTCCCCAGTCTGAACGACGTTCCTCTGCACTACCTGAGACCCAACAGCCTGGTGAGAGTGCGCTGTATGCTGCAGGACATGTTCGATCCCGAGTATTACATGGGGGTGTATGAGACGCTGGACCACGGCAGCAATGAGAGGGTGAGTCGCAGACACATGGAGGGGGTCCGTGTAATATCAGGGGGTCCTTCTATCTAGGGACACCTGGTCCCTGGGGTCGTATCTAGGGACACCCTGGTCTCTGGGGGGACGTCCTTGTCTCTGGGGGACGTCCTGGTCTCTGGGGGAGGTCTTCGTATCTAGGAACACCTGGTCTCTGGGGGAGGTCTTCGTATCTAGGAACACCTGGTCTCTGGGGGGACGTCCTTGTCTCTGGGGGGCACGTCCTTGTACCTGGTGTGACTGTATTACCGTCCTAACCGGCACCATCTTTGTTTCCAGGCTCTGCACCTTGGCAAGTACCGGGATGTGGCAGATTGTACGGTGAGTGTCACAGAGAAGAATGGTGTCCCCGGGAATGATCTGGGAGGACTGTGCTTATTTCCTGGGGTCACCTAGATGTATCTGGGAGGACCGTCCTTATTTCCTGGGGTCACCTAGATGTATCTGGGAGGACTGTCCTTACATCTCTCTCCTCTCCTCATCCTGCTGAAACGCTCTTCATTTCTATACTTCTCTTTAAATGCTCCGCTGCTCTCCTTCAGAGCGCTCACCAACTCCGTCTGCTTCCTCAAAGCTTGCTCCACGTCTCTAAACTCAGGCCTCAGTGCCGGTCTCTTCTTGCTGAACACTTTGGATTAATCAGCTTTTTCTTCCTAAATTCAGCTTTCAAAGCCGTCAATTTCTCCTCCTCTTTATCAATCCGCGTCAGCTTTCCAACAATCCTCCGTCTAAAGGCAGACAGGGACTCATTCCTCCTTGGGCCAGGCCCAGAATCTTCCACAGGCTGAGGCCTAGTCACAGGCCTCTCCAGGGAGCTCCCGCCGGGGTCCTCCCCAGGATCCAGCATCTCTCCTGGGGGCAGAGAAGCAACTCTAGCCCCCGGTCTCTGGAAGCTCACAAACTAAGGAACCAGCAACCTCACACCTCGCTGTCAGGGAGCAGAATGGCAGTTTCCCACCATCCCTGTGCTGAGTTCCTGGGTCTGTACATCTGCTGTGCCCATTATAAGTGGTTACCAGCATCCCTGTGCTGAATTTTAAGACGACTTAATGGACCAGCTCAAACCACAGTACAACACCGCCTCCAGAAATGAAAGTTTAAATGTCAACAACTATACTCTTCAACATGTTAACGTCATGCAATATTTTACATTTGTAGCTTTCATTAAAATTATGTCTGATGATCTTGCTATGAAGGTCCTTCTTGGGACACTTGTCACATAGTGACAACACTCTCTCTTTGTCTATCAATTGCGCTCCTACGTTGTCACCCTGTCACATGGGCTTCTGATGGAGACTACAAGTGTTCATTTGAACACACATAATAATGTCACCATCAGGAAACCCAGCCTGAGAAATGCCATGCAGCCAGGGGCATTCCTAACCTTTTCACTTACCTAGGCAAAGGTACATTGTTGCATGCTAACCCTGGGAGGGGGAGGCACAATGCTGGCCACAGCTTTCCAGTTAACTCACTGCTTGCCAGGACTGGCCTGAGCATCCCCGGTTGTTTAGAGCTGGATGTCCCAGGTTGTTAACAGATGACACATGTCCTCGCTCGGCCCTTAGCAACCTTGGATGCTCTTGCCAGAAAGAGAGCGGAAGGTGCCCACATGACCCAAAGAGATGGCACCTGAGGCTGCCTTATTATAGGACTGGCCCTGCATGCAGCTTTGGGTCGCCTGGGTCCCTATGGCATGTCAGGCTGCTGGCTGTCACTGGCGGGTGTGAGGAGGAATGTGTCGCTGTTGTCAGTGATCTTTGCAGCGGCGCGTTCCTCCTCACACCCGCCAGTGACAACCAGCAGCTGCGGCGGAGGATGCTGGGCCTGGCGTTGGCAGCGGAGGAGGAGGTGGGGCCTGGCGACAGAAGAGGAGCTGGGGTCGGTGACGTCAGAGGAGGAGGGGGGGCCCGGCGATGGAAGAGGAGACAGTGCCCGGCGATGGAAGAGGAGGCGGGGCCCTGTGCAGGAGGAGGAGTCGGACAGCGGCTCGGGCCGACAGGTAAGAGGTGTGCAGGGGTGTGACTAGCCTACCTGAGACCCTGCAGAGCCCACCATAGAGTCTATGGTGGGCTCTGCAGGGTCACTCTCAGGTGAGCTGCTTGCGTTCTCAGGTGGGCTCTGCAAGGGACGTAACTAGAAATCACAGGCCCCATACAACATTTTGCTATGGGGCCTTGTGATTTCTAGTTACGCCCTGGGCCTGATTTCCCACAAGGCCAACCAAGGCCCGGCCTCAGGGCAGCAAGGAGTAAAGGGGCAGCAGGGGTGTGGAATTCCTATCTTCCGATGCCCAGGACCTGCAGTTCCGTGCAGCGGGTGGGTAGTTATTTTCTATATTTTTTGTCTGCAGGTCTGCCATTCTCCATGGTGGTGGTGGTGTTGGGGGAGGGGGGTAGGGGGGTGCATTGAGAAACCTGGCCTTGGGGCAGCAGAGAGAGTAAATCCGGCCCTGGCTACGCCCCTGGTTTACATCTACTTTACGACATAAGCACGACATCTAGGCTAAACAAAGGGGCCCTCCACAGATTATCAGATGATTGACTTGAACATTTAACAAATTGATTGTACTGGTAAAGCAGCTCGGCATCTCGAGCCATTTACGAGGACTAAATTATGAACGTCTTAAATGGAAGGTCTAGAGAAGCAAATTGTTCGCTGCTAACACAAGCAGAACACTCGGGAACGTTAAACGAACAAATATTTTACCGCAGATAATTTCCATTGTGCATCAAATTATCAAACGGTAATTGCAACATTTTCCTGGCGTAGACTTTCTTCCTCGCTATCGAGAATGTCAACACGGAAACCCGAACCCATTAATCATCTCTACAAACTGGACTCTCCCATGAGTGACATTTTAATGTTAAAACTATATTATATTTGATACGGAGAGAAAGCTAATTAAGAACGCTTCCTGTGAGCTATTTCAGGCTCACCTCCCGATGGAATAATGAAAGATTTAGGAAAATAATGAATTACTTTCTGTGGCGCGGTCTTTTACTGTTACTTTTTTAGAGGCGTAATATATTCCTTCCCGGGAAGAATAACGCATCCTGGAGGAACAATTCCCGCTCCCCAAATTAGATTGGTTTTTACATACACAATTATTAACCGAGAAGATTAAAGTTATTGGACTCTGCGTGCCCTCTAGGGATGGTTTGATGCAGAATTGAGTTATAAAAGATATTCACAGTTATTGTAAACCTCCTTTGCTTGACACATTGTAGCGAAGCGCGATGCTTGTCTTGCTCCCTCCGTATCTGTACTTTCTAACTTTGTTACAAGTACATCAAGCTCCAAAAAATGTGCAAATCCTGACAGCGAGTGATGTAAATTTTGGCGCTCCTAATGCCATGCAGTACAGATTGCAGCTATTCTAAAGCTAGATGGGTCACCCAATTTACCTTAGAACCTAATTGAACTTTCATTTTAACTTAGGTGAATACATTTCAGTGCATCCAAGCAACGCAAATTTAAAATGCCTTGATGGGTGGATGCCTGTCTGAAGGAGGGGACGTTCCTAGCACTGGCGGAACTATCAGGGTCGCAGAGGTCACAATTGCAACCCGGGCCCTCCTATTACGCCAGTTGGGGGGGGCCCAGAGAGGAAGAAAAGGGCCAGCGGGTCCCTCGTGCCACCCGCAGCATTAGTGAAACTAAGCAGTGTGGCAGACGCTGTAGCCAGGGCGTGGGGAGGGGAGAAGTACATTTCCCAGTAGGCAACGCAGTGAGGGAGGTGAAACATACAGACTGGAGGTCCAGGCAGCGTGGCTTTTGGAGAGAGGTGCGGTAAACAGCAGGCACAGACAGGGAACGGGGACAGAGAACTGGAATATGGAGAGCTGCAGGTACCAAGGGTAGTTGATACTATGTTATCCTTAATCTCCCTCCATCACTTACTGATGTCTGTGTCCTTCTCCATACTGTCTGTGTTCTACCCAGTGAGCATCCCCCAACCTCTCCACCTATAATAGACTACTGTCTGTGTATGACGCCCCCACTGATATTTCCCCCCCAACGCAAACTACTAGAGCTGCAGAGCGCCTTCCTACTGGAAGCTGTAGTCCCAGGGGGCAATGTCGGCACCTTGGCGCTTAATACCCTCACCCCCCGCCAAGTGGTGGAACGTCAGGGCACAGTCGCAGCATGCAACAGGCCAACTCTCAGCTCCTTCCGATGGAGGTGGGGGGCGGGGCCTGGTTTGTTGCACTGGCACGCTGAACCCAGATAGCAAGAAATTGTGCTGCAAGTTAGAAAATGACTTGCTAAACTCTTGCAGACTTGCCAAGCTTCACAATTTTGTTGCACAATTACAGCGAGTCTGCATTGCAAGTCTCCAGACCAGCGAGCTTGCAGAGCTCTTGCTAAGACCTGCAGGACTCTTGCAATAGACTTGCCAAGCAAATTTGCTACAAATTCAAAAAGTGTCGCCTAGAACTTGTGCTGCGAGTGCTCTGCAAGTCTACAACTTGCCAGGAATGTGTGCAGCAAGTTAACAAAATTACAATTTAACCCCGGCACAAGTTTGTGGCAAGTTATCCTTGCTATCTGGGAAGTTTCTAGTTATGCCTCTGGTTCCTAGGAAGGTTGAATTTACATGCAGACCACCCTAGGTAATACCCACATGTGATGGTGAGTCTCCATAAGTGGAAGAACTAAAATCTAATAAGTGGAGTGGGCCAGGGACAGTGAACCCGGGGAGGAAAGTGTCAGATGATGCTGGACATCTTCCAGCCAGAAAATGAGGCGGGCTTCGTCTGTCTTGCTGCAGCTTCTAGTGCTTGTTGTGAGAAGCTCCCAGTGTGCAGTGAAATCAGAGGAAGCAATTCCAATCCAGGAGAGGATATGATACACATTTGGAAGACTTGAAAGGAAGGCCGGAGTTCGGCTTTAAATTGAACACAGTAGGCAAAAAAAACCAACAGGGGTTTAACCATTTCCTATTATATCCAAAACTAAAGATGATTTCCCTTCACTGCTTGCCCTGAAGGCACAACAGGAAGTGAACAGAAAACATGTCTTGGTCTTAGATGGTCCTATCTGAGTGTTCAGGTCCGCTGGCAGGTTCCTTGGTGTGTTGAATGCGTTAGTTCAGCTTAAAAGTTGAAGCCCTATTTACATTTAATGAATATTACTCTACAAACTTTACTTATAATCTGCTGAGCCTCTAAGCAAGACAGTTTATCATTATTTACAGTTTGATGACACGGCACTGTCTACCATTACTCATAATGCTTATACAGTATAATACTTCTCTACTTATCTGAGCTGAGGCCAAATTGATGCTGTCTATGCTAAAGTATGCCGTCCTGCTTACCTGTGCTGATGTCGAGTTATATTGAGGTTAATTGCCATTTGTTTCACTTGTCTACCTAATGTACATTTAAAAGATC